ATGTTAAGTTCTCGTGAGTTCAGAATGGTCTGAAGCTTTTGTTTGATTGAACGCTTGATTGACGCTTTCGCGTAGGAAAGGAAAGAAGCATTACTCTTCGGACGACCCAGTCGCCCAGATGCTCCGCGAACTATACTTTAGAGAAATCGTTTGCAAACCAAGTCACATCTTAAAATCGTGGTCAAATTTACTGGGACACCTCTATTATTAGCGCAGAACCTTGTGCGAAATATGTGACCTATCTATTACAGGAATTATTCCTTTTAGAGCGTTTTAATCTCTTCCCTCTTCACTTCCCCTCCCCCCAATCAATGAACGTTTTCGGAACTGTTTCAAACATTGCAGTAGGGGGTGGGGTGGGGTAGAGGTGCTGCTGTTGCAAGGTTCTAAAATGTGATCATTTGCGACCGTTTTGTCATAACGGTCTCAACAGCTTTGTTGAGGATTGTATGTTTATGTGTGACAAGAGTTGGGCTTGTGGTAGGATCTTTGTTCACGCTGTTACTTGATTTTATTCTCTTCAGTAAACTAGGATTTCTCATCTTAAATTTCTCCAAGGTCACGCCATATTAGCCATTTGGTGTCCCCCCTGAACACAGTATTGGATGACAGTATTGGATGTGCTTTGTGGTTTGCTGCCCGGGGAGTTGGTCGTCTGCGAACCACCTCAGGGAATAGTAATCTCAAGCAAGATAGTGAGGCAAATGTTGAAGATGAGACGTATACAAGCCGAGCTAAGGTACAACAGTTGTTAGCTGTGACCCAGAAGTGTCAATCGGAGTGTATGTTTATCCCAAAGCAGCGATCTTCAAAGATAGCGAAGTTCCGAAAGATCGAAAGTATCGTTGCATTTAGAGCTCTCCAACCAGGTATTGTCTTGGTTGCGATTCCCGCTGAAATTAAAAATTGAAAATTAAGAAAATGAATCCAAACCCAGCCTGTTTTTATGCAATTATTGCTGTACCTCTCGGCGTACAAACTTTTGTGAAAAAGAAGACTATCAGATAGTCATTTCTCAAATAATTCCAGCTACACGGCTTTGAAATTTTCAGAGAATTTTTCAGTTATTTACTATACTAGAGAGCGTTGTTCCTCCATAACCATTCCCTCCTTGCAAGTAGGTTTAGTGTTCAGAACGATAACTTTGAAATTCCAGTTGCTATGTTGTAGTTTTATTCATTTGTTAACAAAAAGTGAAATGACTGAAAGTTATCGGGAGATGCAAAATTCGAGCTTTTCTTTCTTTTTTTTTGCAACTGAAATGCTCGCTCATGTCGTTTTTTCTTACAGTTTTTCTTTTTTTGTTTGTTTTTTTTTTCTCCATGAGACCTTAGCTCTGTATCCAGATTTCAACTCTTACCATACGTCAAGTGTACAGAGTAACCACGTGACTCATAATTATCGTTATCCTCATTTTATCAGGTTCTGTTGGTTGGTATGGGGGCTGATGAACAACTGGGAGGATATGCCAGACACAGGACACGCTTCAAGTGAGGGTTTAAGGTTAAAACTGCACCAGAGTCGAGTGGTCCACAAAGCGTTAGAGCTTATACTGGCCTCCGTAGCATGGAGCAACGAGGAGTATTATTATACATACAGGCTTACAATGAAAACTCTGATTGGTCAAGAGCATACAGCCAGTATACAATAGCGTGTGAAGTTGACATGATAACCCAATGTCTGAAGCAGACATTGGGTTATCATGTCCAGTTCAAGGTCTGCCTAGTTTCTAAGCCCCACGTCCGTGTAGTGTTCTCAAACTTTTGCAAACTCTGAGAAAAGTGTCTTCCTTTGTAGATTTTTTAAAAAATGTATTATAGAACTATTCTTGATTTCGGTTTTCGCATGATATCATGAATTATCTATCCTAATGTCTGTTTCATCGGCTTCAGCCTTCAGCTTCGGTAGATAACTCAGATCTCGGCATTGATAATTCATGATATTGTGCTCAACCTCATCCAATAAATTGTTATCGGTACACCCGCTGTTTGAGATGCTAGACCACTGCAGCTTACAACCCCCACCCAACCCCCGCTCCTTAGCATTTTGTCAGGTTTCCATGACAGTTCACCTGCACTCATTTAAACTCCTTGGTGGAGAGAGGCGTAGTGTCTGTCTTAACAACACAACGTATTAACCTGGGCAAAATTCGATCCTGGACCTCACGCGACCTAGTGTTCAACCAATAAGCCTATGTGTCTCTCACACTTCAGACTTTTTCCATCCTCAAATTGAATTTATTTTGCACATGTTTACGCGCGGTTTCAACATTGTTATATATATCATTTCAGTGTAGAAGGCTGGTCAGGTTTAATGGATGAGATGGAAATGGAGGTAAAGCGAATATCTAAGCGAAACCTTGGGCGGGATGACAGGTGAGATGCTCTTCCAGTGCGAATTTCCTTCCCTGACTGCGACTCTCTTCTTACCATGCCACGTCTAAGAATCTAAGTGAAATGAAGTTTTTATCCCCAATAGGAGAAATTTATGGACGCTTTGTTTGATATTGTGAGAATAAGTTAAATGATCATCGCTTCTGGGAGTTAGCCTTTTAACTCCCATGAGTGATCAAGATAGAGCTTCTCCTGATAATATGAATAAAAAATCAGGCAGAAAAGTGATGAGAATTTTTAAAAAAAATGTCAATTATAAGATTATTAGTTGATCCAATATCAAATTTTCCGCACTAACATGATAAGAATTGTATGGTTCAAAGTAAGGAGAATTACCAACCTGATCTGGGAGTGAATGCGTGAAAGAAATACTTTAAGGAAAGCCTTAAGTGAGCGAAAAATCACGGTGCATTCCCGAGTTAAGAGCAATTTTTGCTTGACTGTCGGACGTAATGCGGAGTTGCTTCAGTTTTGCATTACTTCGCTCTGTGATTGGTCCAGAAATTTCGCACCACTCTCTCAACCAATCAGATCCAAAACTGAAGCCAATCACGACCTGGCTTCGAGCAGTTGCTTGTTTTTACTTTGAGTTGCTATTGGCTAATGATTGGTCCCTGGGATTTCTTAGGTTTTGGTTTTTGCGACACTCGCTCGAAAACTGCGCCAAGGGAACTTACCTCGGTTTACGAGCATCAAGCGATAAGGAAAACTGTTACCCCACGGGATAGAATGTTTTCTGTCACAGGTTATTGGCCAACATGTTGACGGTTTATGCACAACAATTGGCTGCTAACCTTTTATACTTGTGGGGGAGACAGGCTCTCAGTGTGAAAGTAGGGTGGAAAGTAGGGAACAAAACACAATGACTCGGAAAGGACAGTGAATAGGGATTCACAAACCTACCCGATCACTGGAGCAGTAAACAGACGGATTTTCATCCTCGTAGATAGTGGATGCGAGTCGTTATGAAAAGTTGACTGACATTTTATTTGGTGTACAGGTGTATCTCAGATCACGGTCGAGAAGCGCGGTTTCCGTTTCTGGACGAAGATGTAGTCTCGTTTCTGAATAGTCTACCAGTGTGGCTCAAGGTAAATACAATGCTGCTTTTTGAAACCGTATCTTTGCTCCAAGATGCCTAACGAATATTCGATTAACATTTTTTAAAGAATTTATTAAATTCCTATCGTCTTTAGTTATTTTAGTCTGCTCACACCTCGGTTTTTCAGGACACGATAACACTTTGTTATTTGGTTGGCTAAGCTTCCGTGTATCTGGTTTGTCTTTCGCTTTTGTGTTGTTGTCTGACTAATTGTTACTCAGCTGGTCTCTCTGTCTCTCTTTCTGACTGTTGGACTGTTGGTCTGTTTATCTGTATCGGACGATCTGTCTGTCTTTCTGTCGATCGGTGGGTCTGTCTGTGTTGGTCAGTTGGTCGTTTAGTTCCGTAGTCGTTCTGTCTGTTGGTCAATCTGTGAGTTAAACTGAAAGTACGTGCTGTCTGACTGTCTGTCTGGTTGGCTGGCCATTCTTCTCTTTATTGGTCGCTTGTTGGGTCAGTTGGTCTGTCTGTCTGTCTGTCTGTCTGTCTGTCTGTCTGCCTCTCAGTTCAGTGGTCGATCGGTGAGTCATTCCATATGTCTGTGGGTCAGTCATTTTGTCTTTTAAACCATAAGTAGCTCCACTGTGAAACTTGTTTCTTGTCAATCGTAAGTCTTAGATTGAAATTAAATTGGGGTATTTTATTTGTCATTGCAACTGTAAGTCTTCACGTGCATGTCGGTCGTTTTAAAACTCCAATACGTTTTATTTTCAGACAGATCCAGGCTTGCCTAGAGGGACTGGGGAGAAACAGTTGCTGCGCCAAGCAGCGAGGTTACTTGGCTTGACGTCATCATCAAAGTTACCTAAGCGCGCAATTCAGTTTGGTTCCCGTATTGCCAAACTGGAGAGCAGTGGAGAGAAAGGATCAGAGACCTGCTCTAGGTTTGAGTCCTAAATGGCCCGTTAAGTAAGCCGAAATAACAATATTTTGATCGGTAAGGCTTAACATTGGTCTTGGATCGTTTGTGAATATCGATGTCCAGAGGCACAGCATTAGTATCATAACTAAAAAGCATCCGAGCAAGCAGTTGAGACACAGGCATCCCACAACAGCTTCAGCCTTTCACAGGAACCAAGTGTCTCACGGGACCGGAGCTTCTTTTGATTATGGAAGCATGAA